TTTTGGCAGATGATCCAGAAGTGGTTTGCCCTTGCCTTCTTCTGTGTGTGAATGGAGTAATGGTTGGGGTGCCCCGGAGGAAAACTCCGTGTTGCCTAGACCACGGCCTTGCCCAACACAAGTTATAAATTCGGGCACCGCCGGGAATCGAACCCGAGACCCCAGGATTAAAAGGCCGGCGTTCTAACCTCTAGACCACCGTGGCACTATCTTCTGGTTACACAACTAAATATGTATTGATCAGAAAATTTACTATCAAGTGTTTAAAGACCGCGTACCATGCAGTTAGTTACAACTCATCATCCACGAAGTCGTATGAGTGTCCACAAAATTAAGAGTTTCTGAATTAATTCCGAATCGAAATATTCCAGTGGGCCCAGTCCATGAAAGCTGACGTTTATTAAACAGCATTAACCCACCACAATCCGAAATGTTTGAGTTGAATTAACTGAGTGAGTAACTTCACGGAGAAGAGTCTTCTAATAGTCGATCAGTTTGTAAATTCTCCTTTTCCCGTTTTCGAAAGAGTATGCTATTGGACACTGTCTTGAGCCAGATAAATCCGGTCCACGCCCTCACTTTTTTTATAACTCGTTTTAATGTAATTATCTTATCCACACAACATCCTCAAGGGATCTCTTCATTTCAAGGTGTCTGGTTAAGATTATCATCTCTTCCATGCGTGCTTCACAACCCGCCCATCTCACCTTGATTTGATCGTCCTTATAATAATGCGCGAGGAATAGTATGCAGGTTATGTTTCATTGCAGGAGGTAGGCGAGTTAACCTCTTACCATGCGGTGGACCTGTGAAGAACCCCATTAGGCATTCATCACGTAGAGATGGTTATTGGTAGGCAAACATTGGCTTGTTATGAACTGACTTTCCTCTCCACGTGCAAATGCATCAGCAGTCTAGCAGTGGTCACCGCCAGCTCGAGCTCGCTGCAGCCTCGGAGGTATGTACTCAAAACTATTGTGTAGAGTCACTCAAATGCATGACGAAGCATGTTTAAAAGCAGTTTCATGATTCTAATAATACTATTCATTTTATCGGAATATCTAGGTTCGATCCCAAGGCTGCCAACATGTGATTTGTTGTAGACAGAATGACACTGGGTCCAAATAGCAGGGTTTTCCATAACCAGTCCTTATTCCACTAATATTTCATTCCCTTCTGTCCTTAAAGTGTGAGATAGGTTAGGTTAGCCAAAACATAAGAACGTATTCCTTTAGTAGGCCTACATTCCCTGTAGAAACAACGTACGTTACATTTGTCGGATATAACCTCACTATGTCCTATTACCGATTGTCAATAACATTCACTTTAGATATGAAGCCTGCAGCCAGTCCGTTATTGGGAAAACTTAAATATGCGATTTCAATGTCAATAACGCCGCACCCTACTAAAGGCACCTTAACATGCAAAGACTGTCAGTGATGCTTGCTTCCGGGAATGTTGCCCAAACTGGGACAAGTCGTAACAATATTATTGCGCCGTGTAGTGCGGAGGAGGAGAGAACAATGCAACACCTCATTGCGCAGTATAGGCACGGACCGCGGGGAGAACAATCGGTCAGCCATCTTGGACCGTACGTGTTACATTCAAGGAAAGGAATTTACGACGATTAAAAAATGTTCTGCGTAAAGACGTCATTATGATTTCGTTTAACGGAGAGAGTGTGAATGTTGATGGCCAGCACACAAAATTTAATAATTTGAGAGTTGAATTGCTATTCAAAATGATCAAAAGAACAATTTGGTTTTAAGAAAAGTAAACCGATCGGGAATGATTTTACTTTATATACGTATTATGTACAGCCCTATTTATATTAGTCCACTGAACCAGGTCCTTTAAAATTACGATATAATGGGAAAAATAATATTAAACTATATAATAACGAAATGAAGTGTGGACTGGACTCATCTAGTTCAGGAATAGAACTCTGGAAACCACGATAATGAACCTCAGGTTCCAAAATGTTGTTATATCGTATTTCTATCCATTTTAATATTTTCACGCCACCCACACTTTAGTACATCACAGGTGTTTCTAATCACTAGTCTCACATTTCTCGCAACTGAAGTGTGGGAACCAACTAGAAATATTCTGCAACAGAAGCAAATGGCCCGTTCGGCTGTTTCAGAACGTACAAGCAGCCACTGCTCAAATTGCGTGAGTAGAAGGATGCTTGTTTATGCTCTCCTCATTCAGCTTCCAGATACCTCAGTTGTTATAGCACTGAATGAAGAAAGTCCTTCATATTCCCTGCATTCTTCACAAACCGGATATGTTCTTGTGCTCTTCGGATCATATTCTACGCCCCAGATGATTTTCTCAGGGCATTTCAGTTGGAGAAAACTATCTCTTGCAAAATACGATGAGATTTGTGGCTATGTAGACATGTACACACAGAAATCCACTTTAAAACAAACACTCAAGAAATTATAGACGTGAGTGACACAGATTGCCAGAGTCCACAGTAATTACGAACTAAGAGCTTTGTTGTTATCAGCAGACAATACAAACTACGGATGTTGATTGAAGTGGCTTTTCTTTCTAGGCTTGGTAGCCTGTATTTTTTTTTAAATATGTCGTGAGTTTGTTATAACCCAGTCTTTATTGTTTCATCAAAGTTCAGGATTTAGCTGTAAGTTTAATCATATTATGATTAAATATTAAAATGAACAAAACAGTGGCCTATATGTTAAATTGTAGGTTATGTGCTATTTATTTTTGTATATCACTGTTTTTCAAGCTTTCTGTGGAATCTTTTAGTTAATTCTATTGGATAAGTAACAGATACCAATTTGTATAATGGGCGTGGTCTGTATAGCTTTGTAAGATTCTACCTTTCCATTTGCCGGGAGACAACAAAGAAAACCAGGAAACATCTTACCACAGTAATAAGTAGGTTTAGTTAGGTTAGGTTTTTATGTATGTTAAGTGAACTTCAGGCAGGACGAACGCGAGCTAGCGGATAAAAGTGGAGTTTAAATCTCGCATGAAAGCAATAAGCACTGTATACAGAGAACTCTTCAACTTTTATTTCAAATGTAGTTATTTTTAAAAGCTAAGTTAAAATGGGATTTGAGGTTAGCATTGCGGTAAGTCCGAAGATGGCTTTCTTCTGGGTTGTACCGATATGGCCCTGATGATGGAGGCGGCAAGGACCTCTGAAACGCTGATGAACTACTACTACTACCAGATTATACGGCGCTACAACCCATAAGACAGCTATCTTCAACCTTGTTACGTTATAAAACTTTTCAAACGACTTCTGTAATTTCTGATGGAGGTCCGTGACTCGAAACCATAACGGCTTCATATTTCCAGAATGTCAATGGTTTTCCTGAGTCCCTCCAAAAAAACACCGTGGTCGTTTGTTAACACAATTATTACATTAAAACTTATTTTCCCAACACTCCTGTCTTTTGTCGCCTCCCTCGGCCACAGCGTAAAAATCCCTAGATATATTCACATGGAGGCGTTAAGTAATAAAATAATAATTATTATTATGCAATGGTTTTGACGCGTGATAACTTCACGTATAAAGACGGGTGTGTGCGTGTGGGGGAGTGAGAGCTCAGCTTTTCTTAAGGACGGCCCTGAATTCGTGCAACTATGCCAAAGTAAATCAGTCCTTAACAGGTACGGAAACAGGACTGTTTCTAGTCCCCCGAGGGCAAGGTGTTTGGAACGGGTGACGCCTTCCGTAGTGCGCTGTTTGTATGCGACGCGCGATCGCACGTCCTAAAGACCCCACACGTTCCCTGACTCATCGCCGGAAACTTTCAGTCTTTCTCCCGGTGCCGTGGACAATGGACAGTGAATTTGTCACAAGTACGACTCTTCAGAAAGCAATAGTAAGTCAGTTAATCTCTTTCTTGGACCATTAGATAAAGAGAATATAGGAAAATGCAAACTTACGGGTTGGTCCAACATAAATTTGTTTTTGTTTTTTTTCAAAATATTTGTTTTATATCTTACGTATTTAGTAAAATGCAAGAAAAACTGAAGTAATTTGCATTTTCTTGAGGGACTGAGATAAAACATAAAAACCCCAGTAAAGATAAGCAGTCTCCAACCAGGACTTGAACCTGGGAACTCCTGAACACAAAACAGGAGTAATAAACAAAAAGCTGTGTGTTTAGTGCAAAACATTTTTAAATAACACACAAATTGAAGTGTGTGAATGACATATGTATTACTAGAATCTCTACATGTTTGGGAGAACTCTCTTAAGTTCTCCCCTTCTCAGCTGTCCAGTTTTATGCAAGTGTTCATGCGAAAAAGTCAGCCATAATATTTGTATAGTAATGTATACAAAATTGTGGGAGAACAGCATTAGGAGAATCTAGGCGAAAAAGCAGGGCATTTCTAGACCAGCTGAATATGCTAATTATCAACTGTTCCAGGAAGACTCAGTACCACAGTTACTTAACAAAGCGCTAACTCAATTGACACCAGCCTGAGGTGTTCATTCAAGAGCATTCTACAGACCTCACCAGCTTCTATCTATACATAACGTCTCAATGGTCTTGATCTATTTCAGTTGGTGTTCTGCTACTGCGTACATTACAACAGATATATAACTGACGAGATTTTCATTAAGTTGCTATGCTCATTTTAATTAACTCCATTAAGTCTGACTAAATGTTATATATTTCAATAAGGTGATAACACATTAAAAGGTAAGTGAACAGCAATAAGGCATGTTGCATTCTCTTGGCATCACAGCTATCATCATTAAGCATTGGTTCAACACAAGCAAGATAGCATCAACAGTTAGAAGGGAGATTGTCTGGATATGGATGACAAAGAGACTACTGAGATTATATTTCTAAGAAGCGTTACTGGAGACAGCGATTTAAGGACAGAGAAAGGGGAGACTACAGTGAGATATTTAAAAGGGAGGAAATGTTGCAGGAGACAAGATTGGTTCATCAATGTTAAGCAAATTGAAAACTCAGTAAACCAATGACAGCGAATCCAACCAAGAACAAGGCAGCATGACAGGACGAAGAGAGAGTTGCTATATGAAGAAGGAAGAGAACTGAAACATCTCGGTAAAGTGACAATTTTCATAAGTGAAAAACACACCTTGAAATGCAGAAGGAAATGGTATGAAGAAGTTATCTTTATTAGGCAGACATTTCTTTAAATTTCAGTTCTCTGGAGGTAGAGAAGGCAAGATGTCGGCATAGCTGATGTGACGTTAAAACTCCGGCTGTGTCACATCAAGCCAACTTTCACTTCCAGACAAACACCAAATGATGTCATATGAAGAGGTGATTATATAATATGTAATGTAAAGTAGCCTTCTGACTGAATACCTTCACATTGAGGCAGGTTCTATGAGATATCTACTGTGTGAAATTCATAATATATGGTATATAGAAATAATTTTGGTGTTAATTAGCAGACATGGTAGAACAGATATTGTAACTTGTCAATGCATAAAATGTTCAATATGTAAACCACTGGCATCCAAGACCATTTATAGTCAATGTTGAAGATTGGCAAACAGCAATGCTTAGAGTCTGCAGTGTTCTGATGACTAGAGATTGAATTTCTTCTTTTGGTTGAACTGTGTAAGGTCTGATTCTGTACACGGCATTTCAAATACCCCCATTGGTACTGGTACTGATCTAGAGGCAACTTCGGCTACCCCAGGCACTCAGATCACTGCCGGGCCCATTGCATACCCCTAATCCTATTAAGGCTCTTCGAAATCTATAAGTACACTGTTACAGCCAGAATCAATCTGAGGCCCTCTTAATATCTATTGGCTCTAGCCATGCGCAGCCAAAGATTTCTAATCTATGCCCAGTTGTACTGTCAGTCACGAGGTACATATTTTTAAAATTTATGGACCACCTTGTATATCACACTAACCTGCTTGGTTGCCCCTTAAAATTAAATTCCTGCCAAAACAGCAATGAACTTAAACCACACTACCAGTTAAATAAAATGTTTTCACTATAAATACATGTTCTAGTAACATATGATGAAAATTATTTATCTGCATCAAGTGTTTCAGTTAATATATGCAATTTAAACTTAAGCGTCTCTTTTAATTGGCCATGTATGTTCCAAGATGAGACAGCCATGCAAAATACTTTGTGCTTCATATCTTGGATGAATATATCTCTTTTGTGTTCATGAAACAGAATGATAATCTTACCTAAACTGCAGCACTAATAGTACTTATAGTAATAAATTTACGATTGGTTTTGTTTATGGCATATACATCTTGGAAATTAACACAGCATCGTGGTGGTAAAACTTCATGAGTAAAAGGCACTTTGTAGACAAATACATGGTTGAGGATAATATTAGAATGGACTTTAGGTGTATAGTCTGTAAATTAGATTATTTTTGAGGTTCTGAACATCAAGAAACTGAAGGAAACAGAATATGACTTATATAAATGTAACTTTACTGTAACAAGTAAAAAACAAATTTTAATATGCATTTAAATGTTAACATGGGGTACAATTCCATACTGTACTGTCTGTGCATAACAATTTGCTTCATAAAAATAAACATCTGGAATTATTCACAAATAAAGAAAACACATCATAAAGGCAACTAACACAACTGCAAAACCTGGTACCAACCATACGGCAAACCACGGGCTCTTAAAAGGAACATGTGCATGGCATGTACTATAAATGTTGGATGATACTGGAAGAGGCTGATGATTCTGATGGCACCAGCACTTGATAAAACTAGACATCCCTTTAAATTTGAATGTAAGACAATTTTTATCATCATCATCAACCTTTTCCGTATTAGGCCACGAGGCCTGTTACGGTCTTGTATTTTCCGTCCATCTCTTCTGAGGTCGGCCGAGAGATCTTTTCCCAGCAGGGCGATAACAATTTTTATAATTTAATTAAACGAGGAATATATGAATTGAATGTTTCCAAATCCAATATTTATATTATAATGCCATAATAATTCAAGTTTTCAATTTACATATCCTAGATTTCAATTGTACCTATGGAAACTGTCTCCAATATTTATAGTACAATACATTGATGGACAGGAACTCTTGGCATACACATTCTTCAGTACACTGTTCAAACCTTTTTTTTTCCAGGACAGATAATAAACTGCAGAGTGACTTCAGGTGATTCATAACATGTAAGATACAAACACAGTGTTTCTCTTCAGTAAAAAAGAGTTGAATCAACATTCAATAAGCAAGGGCCAATTTTTATCCCTGAGGCTTATAACATATAGTAGCTTCTGGAAAACACATTTGAAATCAATCATTATTTGACAAGATTTATTATTTTAGTGATTTGTTTTATAAGTGATATTACACTAATATTGCTTTTAACTATTGTCAATTCAAAATATAATATACATGAAGTTTCACAACTGGTCTACCATACAATGGGGATGAGGGAGAAAATTTCAAGTAAAAGAATATTAATACAACACTGGTTGTTTCCTACCACTGAAACTACGGACGTTTCAAGCTGCACAAACAATAAATGCCTACTCGTGTGTACTTTAATAAATGGTAACGCAGGCAATGATTTTGGTTAAAGGTGATCCTCAGTTGCATCTTGCATCACTTGTCTGTTGATTACGATCCTCTGGAAATGAGGTGTGGAATCTTCTTCCATCATGAAGAGGCATCTCAACCTTTTGGCCACCAACTTATGGCTCATTTGAATCAGCAATACAAAAATTACTGGATTGGTCACAGTGGTTCAGCACCTGCACTACCAAGATCTCTGGACCTAACCATGCTTAATTTTTTATGAGGTCTAATGAATGAGACAATCTACAGGACCAAAGTAAACACAAAACAGGAACTTTTGTTTAAAATGAGCAAGGCCATGCACCAGAGGCCATGGTAGACATTATGAACACATAACGTGTATCTCATAAAATGTAACAATAAATCCATCTTATTAATACTTGCATTTACTTTTTACCTGTATGTATCTTGAAACTGCCATAGTTGCACAATGGTTTGAAACAGGACCAACATTTTAATAATAATATTTATTACTGAAAATTAATTTCCAAATCCCACCCACCTGTATAGCAGACTGGCTACAAAACTGTAAATTTCACTTTAATTCATGTGAAGTAAGCTACTGAGACTAGCTTGGGTACCTACCCAGCATTCATAACATTGTGTCTGTGGGAAATTGAATTCAGTCTTGAACACAACACATAAACATAACCTGTTCATAACTTTGGGAGTTTTCGTGCTAAGTAAACTCACAGCAAATGAGTGCCTTCAAGTACAAGACAAACTTAAAACATGCAAACACATGAGTCCATTTTGTGAGAATCATAACATTGCATCTCAAATCCTCTAAACCAAATGCCTGCAAATGTATACGGTGCTTCATCTGACCACAGTCAATTACATATGGTGTGTCACAAATATCACAGCTATGCTTTAATTTACTAATAATAATAATATGTTAATTTTGTGTTTTCTTTTCACAATGTGCATGCACTTACAGGATCTTGTATGTCCTTCATGCTTTAATTAAAGAACTGGTGAACAGATTCTGACAAACTGTAATATTACAGAGCTTCTTACTACACTCTATTAAATCATTCCAAATTAGATTAAAATCAAAGAAAAATAGTAACCACTTTGCACATTTTATAATAAAAAAGGCTCATATGAAAACTGATTCAGGACAACTCTACTGTACATTTTTAAGTAGGATGGAATCAGATTCTCAGAAAACACACGCCTTTAAAACTAATGAGACATATCAGGGCTTGTACGGCATGTCACGCCATGATAACGGGTAAAGTGCATCCTCTACTTAGAAGCTGCATTACTTAAGAAAAATGTGCCAAATATGATGTCATTCATCCCACAAGTCACCAGGTTCAGGTATGAGGTTAGCTCAACCAGGGGGCCCAACAGATAAGGCTTTCTGTCCTCTAACCCCCCTTCTAGCTTCTGAAATGTTGTACTTTATTTTTTTTTATAATACACACAATTTAAGACGTCCAAAAGAACAATATTACATGTTATAACTCATCAAAACACTTATGAACTATATAAACACCCTCAACCAGAGGTGGTGTATTCTGGCAGCATGTGTCAGCTGGAGTGGAGGCAGTTACTAGGCAGCTAGAACAATGTATAACCACAAGTTTCAATCATCATACTATGTCTGGTTTAATCTCGGTGCAGGACCAGAGTACAGGAGTATGGGTTCCTGAATACTTGCATCATTCTTTTCTTTATGAATTCCTGAGGAAGGCAACACTCCTCTCTGCCAATTTCCATGCATGCACTGGTAGTACCTCCAGAATAGTACTCTGCTTTAAAAGAACATTGGAAAAGTTTATAGTAATTTAACATTTGCAGATCCTATTGTAACCATACTGTTGTTATGGTAATGAGTTATTCTTTCCTGAAGAAGTCTAAAATTTGTTTTCTGCTGGGCATTTTGTGATCAGTTATATGATATTGTAACATACTTAATAATACATGTTGTGTCTGACACACATTTTCAGTTTGTGTGCGAGACTTTATTAAAAATCTGTTCATTATAATTTACACTACAGCAGAATGCACTATAAAAATGCTGAGTAGGTAAGGGTTTTGAAGAAGACATTGCCATTTTAAGGTAACAATTCAATGCTGGAGATATTGTGAAAAACAAAAAAGAAACCTCAACTGAGTTAACTGGGCAAGACTCAAACTGGGTACCTCCTAAACACAAGTCTAGAACATTACTGTTATACCAACCTGTTCAGTAGCTTGTCCAAGAATTAATGTTAATTGCAGCATCTTGTATAAAACACTGTATATTATTCTTCACAAACAAATAAAGTATTTTTCATAAAATATGCAGTTTAAGAAATCATTTATACTTTGAGATATCCACTTCCTTATCTCATTAGAAAAGATTTCCATGTTTCATCCTTTCCTCAAGGCCTTAATTATAGGCCAGCAAACATCTCCAAACCACCTACATCTTCCTGTGACATAATTTAGTTTAACTACACAATCCAACTTTCTAACTTTATACTTCAACAACAAAAATATACACCTCTCTACAACTATAAATGACAATTACATCACATAATTTAATGATATTCAACATTTAACAGATAAAGATAAGTGTTATACACTATCCAGACATTTGATTTGCACTGGGTGCATTTTTATTAAACATTCATAGCACCTTTATCATCACATTGCACATTTGCTTCAGTGTGACCTTAAATTAAAATGTATCCTGCAAGCAAATTAAGAAACAAATATTGTTCTGAATATGGCAATGCTCCATCTGTAACATTCAACACTGATGAAATGAGTAGCAATGCAAATGTAGCACAATTTTGACAAATCAGTCTGTGAAATCATCTATATAATATTCCCAGACACTGTCAACAGTAAAGTACCTCATCTGCAAATGTAACAGGTTTATTTTAAGGCACCAATCACGTCAATTTGCAACGATTTTGGAAGCTACTATTGGTGCGGACATTATGGAACAAGAACAAAGAACACAGTTTCAGTTTCATATCGTTACACAAGCAAACATCGGAAGATAAAAGCTAGATCACAATATTTATGTCTTTCTTTATAAGCAGTCTACCTCTTGAGAGAAGTATAAACAGCCCTTAAATCATCATAAAATAAATAAGATTCATTAAAAATTACTGAGCCTGCAGGTGACTACGAACGAAAGATATTATTGAACGAAATCCACCTGAAGCAGAAGTTATACCCCACAGTCAACAAGTTACTCAAAACATAATAAAAAGACTGTACTTTTATTAATACTGTCTTGGACTCCAAAAACATTCCTAGTGATGAGTAAAGCTTTTTTTCAATTTGCTAAGTACAACTAATAGTGCCTATCTTCCTAACAACATCCAGTATGAGAAATAACCCATACATAACAATGACAACATTAACCCTACAACTATCAAGACACACTTTAATAGGAGTTCAGTGGATCCATAAATCATCTTCACTTCAAAGCCAGAACAGATTAGAAAAAGTGTAGACATCTTCTGAAATGGTATTTCAAGTGCTACACCAAAATAAACTTTCTAAATGCATTACTTTTTGAACTACATTGACTTCAATGGTACTTGAAATGCCATCATGTATGGACCGTGTTAATTATATAGACTGTTCCTTCTAAAAGCATTTACAATATAAATCAAATATTTAATAACACTTATTTTCATAATTAGTTCCAAAACTCCAATATACTTCAACAACTGATAAGGGCTATGTAAAGCTTGGATTTTGCTTTGTATAGCCTGATTTGAAATCCCCTATTTAAAATAAATTTAAGAGAAGATTTCAAATACTTTCAGAACAAAGTAACATAATAGTTTCAGGTAAATCTTCTTAATAGCCCTAGGGTTAATACAGGCAAGATAAGTTTGAACTTCATACAAGAATAATTCTTAACAATACCTAAATCAGCACACGTTATTTGTAACTGTGAAGTCCAACCACACAATTTAAACGTTTACAAAATATGAATACAATTTCAACTTTTCTCCACATAAAATTCCTGTACCCGCAGTTCTGATGTATAAAAAAAGGAAAAATATGGCAAGGTGGTTAATGCAGCAAAGTCCAGATAATTCTGTTACTGTGTGTAAACCAGTAAGTAACTCCCATCCTTCCATTTCACCTTTCCCCACCTTCCCTCTCATTCTCTCCTTGCCTCTACATTTTCCCCTTTGTTACTCTTTCTTTACTTCAATGCATTTTAGAAATTCAGAATAAAAAATTAGGGGAGTGAACACAAAATAAATGTAAAGAATAGTTAATACTTTTTAACAGTTGGTGTATCATATCAGCACTAGACATCAGAAGCTATCTGAAGAAATTTAATCCGCATCTCTTCAGAACCTGTTCTTCAATAAACTTCCTATAATTTTTATGTTTCTGTGCACAAGTATTTTTTTCCATTACCTGCACAATTAATGTCAACACAGATGGCATACAATTCTCTGACAAATCACAAATCACAAACCACAGAATAACAGATGCACCTCCATAACAATCATCTTGTCTTTCATTAAATGAAGCAAACGTAAAAGAATTGTTATGGTAATAGAAATGTTGTCAATCATAAGTTTTATAAATAAGTTGGGACATGGCAGTTAAGGCACCAATTTTACCTTTTATTTATGACAAAAATTATGCGGGCCTAGGTTTTTATTATATTCTTGGCCGAGCCACCTATCAGCTGAAGTTTTGTATCATCCAGCATAACATATTTATCGCATAAAGACATAACGGGCATAAATTAATAAACAATAATACAATGCAAGTTACAAATCACGCTTTGTTCCTTTCTATGTAAAACTGGGTTCATGAGAGTACCTAATGACATTGTTCGAAGATAGTTAATTTCTAAAGTTGTTTGGAACAGAAATCAAAATGCTTTATTGTTCCATGTGTTTTACGTTACTTGGCCAGCACTCCATGTGATAGTGCCTTTAAAACCAAATTAGACAGCAGAACCTGGGCAGTTTGTTCAATGTGGCACTAATCATGGACAAACAAATCCAACTATGATGATAATTTTGTGCTCTACAACAACAGAACTTTGTCAGAGAATTGTGGTGTGAGAATCTGTGCCCAGCTGATCCTCACCAACCTCTTTCTTCTGCCAAGCAGCCTCTCATCCAACCCTGTTTCAAGTGACCAGTCAACGGCCAGTGTGAACGCATTATCTAGACCTTCATCACAGTCTCTACCTGATGGCAGAAGTATGGAGTGTGACAAACAACATCCTTCAATTCTACCTTGGAATAGTTCTGGGTCTTAAAAGACCAAGAAGTTGTGTGCAAGGCATCCAGCTGGTAACAGAGCCAGAACTCAGTACAGCGATTGGGTTGTAATAATAGTGCACGAAGTGTTAAGTGCTATGCCAGTGAAGAGAGGTGGACAACAGCACTGTGAACTATGTGAACACAGGTAATGACAAAGAGAACAAGTGTGATTTAGAGACAAAAAATTAGAAGAATAAGTAAAAGAGGACAATTTTTTTCAAGTGCAGTTATTTTATTTATATTTATTTAGTGTTCTGTCTGACGACAGGTCCATATGAACAGGATCCTTCCATCCTTTTCTCGGACTGGGACCTGTTCATATACGTTCTTGGCAGATGATCCAGAAGTGGTTTGCCATTGCCTTCTTCTGTGTGTGAATGGAGTAATTGTTGGGATGCCACGGAGGAAAACTCCGTGTTGCCTAGACCACGGCCTTGCCCAACACAAGTTATAAATTTGGGCACCGCCGGGAATCGAACCCGAGACCCCAGGATTACAAAGCCAGCGTTCTAACCGCTAGACCACCGTGGCTCAAGTGCAGTAACAAAGCATAATTAATTTTAATAGAATGTTTAATAAATCCATTAGCTAAAAACAAACCCACTGTGTACTTACTGATCCACATTACAATACGATGCCAGGAGAGCTAAACTGAATTACAAATAGGCCTAATGTATTATCCCTTGATGACAATTGATGCATATGAAGCAATACAGAAATAATGATTCACAGCTAAAAACGTGAACCACTCAAAGAAAAATCTGACCCCAAGCCATTTTGTCCAACACAAATCTCACATGTACTGACTGCCCTGAAATTGAACTTCAGTCCCCACTTGTAAAGACTGCAACTACCTGAGAAATGGCACAGCCCAGTTTTTTATGTTAACAAATTGCTACTTTTAGTAGGATTTGAGATTCTCATGGCAGTGAGTACACAAATAGCTGTCTTCTGGGTTGTAGTGCCATGTTTATCAAACATTCAGAGGTCCTTGCTGCCTCCATCATCAAGGGCCTCTGAAACAACCCAGAAGACAGCCATCTTTGCTACATATCAGTTTATATATAGACATAATTTTACCTACAGTAGAATGAGATGTACCCAAGTGCTTTACATCAGACTGAGAAATCAAAATGATTAATTTATGTATCGAGTCTTGTGATTTATATGAAACATGTTACACTCAATCTTCATGCAGTGGTATGACTTATGGAAAGACATGTCTGCTATATAATTCACCTTACCAGATTTTTCCCTTTCATATCTTATACCCAATTTTGTACTTTCATTTCATTTTCAACATAACTAATTTTTGCATTATAAAGTAAATTTCCACTGTTAATAAATTATTGATGTGTGCCATGTCTTGTAAATCATGCTTATCTCAATAATCATTCATAATATAACATTTCTTGTTGTGTACAAACACAACACAATCAACTGAACCTAAAGAAAAATATGTTTAAGTTAAATTAATTTAATGGAGGCTATTACAGAATATCTTAGAATGGATATTCTATTCTACAGTTAAGTTCTACTTCATTACTTGTGATTATAATGAATTGGCATTAGAAGTTCCTATGACCAAGGCGTACTCTGAGCACTGAAATGTCATTAACTATTACGATTATCTAGAAGATAGTTTTAAAATTGAGCTAATGGCACTACATGGGCACTTCCCTAATCAAGCTTAAGATAGAGAACTGTGCTGGTATTATACATCATTTAGCTGTCCATGATATGTATCAAACCCAAATTCCGATATGTAGCACTTCCTGCCTCTTTAGATGTCATATGGAAGGAATCGCTAAAGGCAGATTATTGTAACCATTTGGTGCACGTACAAATGTTTTACTCAACATAAAGCACAAATACGAAGGAATCAACTGTAAGATTTAACTCTAAAAATTGTGATCAAAAGTTTTCTATAAACTCACAAGTTTATGCTGGCAGAATCGGTACCCTCTATGACATACACTCAAGCCATAAATGCGTTATATGCAGAATACATTAAAGTCAGCCCCCTACAGCATAAAGTCTATCAAATTTGATTGTTTGGTCTACCTCTATGTTGGTCAAAACTTCCAAGAAGCATATGTGGCAGTCCAGGCAGTGACATCAGTCCAGGGTGGAAACTGTGACAAGAACCGGCGAAACCGGACTCCAGATTTTGCAGGACCATGCATGAAGTGACTTGAAACAGCCACATCTACAGTGGTTCGATTTGAAAGGCGAGGTCCCTAGGGAAACATATTCACTTTCTTCATGAACACTGTCTGAAGTTCAATAACGCTTACAGCGTCAAATGTACATAGCACCCCTAGTGCAGCGACAAGCTCCAGCTCATATTCTGATTTTTTTTTTAATGTAAAGGAATTCTCTCAGTGTGAAATCAAAGAGGAGATTGTGGTCTTTCATTTAAAATGTGTTGTCACACTTGCATTTTCCTACGGAATTTATATTATATTATAATTTTCTGAAAGCGTTCTCTGCCCGACCAGTTGGTGCTTTACATTATGATCAGAGCCTGTCTCTACTATAGAGAATTCTTATGAACTAAATGCATTAGATCCATATGAATCAAAACTGAGACTGAATGTGTGTTTTCTGCACATTAATCTGAACAAAAACTCAACTCTGCTGGGGGTTTGTTAGCACTGTTTCATGGTACATACAGTGCTACCTTCAGTTAGGTATTTATAACCACAAGAGATGGCTCAGAGATTTTAAAGCTTGATTTTGACCCATAACCTTGACTCACAAGGGTAGGATGAAAGACTTCCATGTAGAAAAGAATAACACTTTTGTATAAGAAAGTCTCTACTGTAGTCCTCTTTGCTCCATAAATATGCATCACACCGCATATAAAAACCACAGCCGATACTTGCAGGAAGTCATCACATGTTCAGTGAATCTGAAAAATGCTTGGATTCTGACAGTGACAATAAACTGGATATTGTACAGTTCTTGATGCGGTAAATGGAAAATGTTATAATGGTATTATTATTCAAGACTTTGTATTGGAGGTAATGAACAATTACAAGGGACAAACAGAAAAATTTCAGAATGCAGTTAGTTAAAGGATTATTTGTACAGCATACAGATGTTCTGGAATACAACGTGCCAATTGCCTCAATCTGTCGCCAATTAAATATTGTAAACAGTAATTTTTACTTACCTTGAGGTCAAAAGAAAATGTCAAAGGCTTGGGTTCTGAGGCATAAGCATAATATACAAAATATGTATCACGTCCATTCCACTTAGGACCCGCCAAGGGCTCTTGATCATCCAAACTCCAATGATCAAGTGTTACACCAGGAACTGGAGACAACATCACGCCAATGTGATCAGGGCCTGCAAGAAGTGAAAAAATAAACTCTCCTTAAAACTAACAAGAACTACAAGGCGCGTCCCAAAAGTAAGTTTCCCTGGGGCCGTTTACAGAAACAAAACACAATTTCATGGAAATATTTATCGCAACAGATACAGCAAGTGTCCAGCTATTTTTCAACATATTCGCCACCGGAATTGAGACATTGGACGTTAGGCCCATAGACCCGGCACAGCTGACGATGAATTTCGATCGGCGCTATGCTCTGTGCATTCAAAAACTTTATCACTGACCGCACTTCACAGTCGGCGGGAGCTGGAATAAGAACCTCCATCTTCAACAGCTGCAACGATGCTACTGTGAGAACGCGGGAAGTACCGTTAGTGCATGCGCCATGCTACGTCATTGCTCTATCACGTATGCACAGTCGCTTCGCTCAATATAAGGTTTGCTAGCTGTGGGACGAGTGGGAAACTTACTTTTGGGATGCGCCTCATATAAAGCTTGTGCCTCCTGTTATTTCTACTTGTGACAATCACTTATCCCTCTTGGACTCTTCTTAACCACTGAGCTGGAAGAATCCATTTCTGGGGCAGAAAACAGATTCCACTACACATCAGAGACAGTGAGAATTATGCTCAGCAGAGAAACTTGCAGTTAACATGAACATGACTTGAATTCTCCATTTTTCAGAAAGTTTTAACTTTGTCCAAAGTGATGGGTGACGTTGGCAAGTGAAAAAATCTGTACCAGCTCAACCTAGTTGGGTCACGTAAAGACATTCAGTATAGATGGAGTTGTCCCTGTCACCATGAAATCAAGATATATTGGAAGCAGAGAGAAAAGCCCTACCTATAATATACAGAGATGAGGGGTAACAGCTGATTTTCTACAAAAAAAATTGCATATTTCCTCAAGATTAAGACCATTATTAAGCATCACTAGTATGACTCCAATATCACAAGTCTGTGCACCTGCCATTTTGTTATTACTGATTGTAGGAAGTATACAACTGCAGTGGTCTCCCAACAGCATAACACACATAATTTTTTTTTTTGAAAATCAGTCAACTGGTTCAAAAGCTGAAAGTGGAGAAGACACAGACACATCATGGATCTTACAAATCTAGCTGTTTTAACAAAGTAAAGTTGACTGAAAGGACTCCCACATAGTAAAATCACCATGTTTTATTTATTTATAGTTTGTTTAATGACGCTTTGTCAGTAGCTCAGGCTATATAGCATCAATGAGAGGATGATAGTGAATTGGAAAGGATGTGGAAGGAAGCAGTCGTGGCTTAAGGAACTATCCTGGCATTTACCTGGAAAGACTTGAAGAAAACCACCGGTCAGGATAGCCAGTGTCCGGGCTGAGATTTGAGCCCAGGACCTCTCAAATACGAAGCAGGAGTGTTAACCACTGAACCACGACGTTCGGTTATCGCAATATGCCACTTAATATCTTGACACAACCTTTCCCTCAGTACTGACTAAAGTGTTATTATAGAAGCCCCCCACCCCTCCGTTCTGTTGCCCCGGCTACTTCCGTGTTCTTGTGTTATTTGATAAATAATAGAAAATCAATGTAGTGGAGCTACCATGACAGGCGAGGGCACACTCTTACCTGTAACAGTGAAGTTCAGTCTCTTGTGGTTATGTGATATCATCTCACTTTTATTCAGGTGAAGTTCTGTTGGCAGTGGTAGCATAGGTGGTGGTCCAGGAATCCAATGGGTCTTCCTGCCAATCAGTCACATTAATCATAAGCAAATGATATTCTGTTTTAACACTATCTGCAGAACAGCAACTACAACAGCAGGAAGGTGTACTCTAGTGGACTACACATAACATTTCAACACAAGCACATTTCCTGTACAGTAAAATCAGGTGAAATTTCTCTGCAGGTGTTAAACTGTGGACACAGATGAATGAATTCATTTTTAACATTGCAGTCTTTATTTGAAGCTGTAGTTTAATAAATGTGGTAAATAAAATGCATAAACTGATGCACAGCATTCTGAAGCTGGCTAATTTGCACTTCAATCCAGCATTCTCTTTAACCTTAAACTAAAAACCATGTTTAAAAGGTTAAAATGACCTTCATGGAACAGGCTTTAGTGCTGTGAATTGGTTCAGATCACCATAATGAACACACCATATGAACGAGAGAGCAGG